ATGGGTTTCAGAAAGCACGGCGACGCTTCAACAGACAGGCAGGGAAGAGGGAACAGGCAATACGTTCAGGGAAGCAGGAGGGTAGAGACGGGGGAGCGAACAGGTAGGCCTATGGGCGGGGTAGGACCAGTACTTCATGTCCACAAGGTTTCAAAAGGGGGGCCTATCTGGGCTGTCAATGTCTCAAGATCAACGGTCCAGATAGCCCGCCCTTTTCAAACCTTTTGGGCGGGCCTACAAGACCTGGTTTTGATTTTTTTTTGGGCTAGGAGACCTCCACGACCTGCATGGAGGCGTCCTGGCCCAAAAGAAAACTGGTGAAACCCCAGATTGGATGCGCTACGGGCAACCAGGAGGGAACCGGCCCGGTTCCATTTCGGGAAGAGACTCCTAGTCCTACCGGGTTTAAAACACTGAAAAAAGCAAAATTTAATGACATGTATTAACCTCTCTGAGCACAATGAACGTCTTTCTTTTAGTCGAGCTCTATTTTCTTAAGTGTTCCTTCTGTTTCCCAACCGTGTTTATTTTTTTGCACTATGGCACATAATCACTCATTCATAATCTTGCACTATGTTCCTTTTCTTGTGTATCTTCTTTAAAAATGTTGCAGAAAATCTGGTACCTCATGAAATGGAAATCGGAACCATACTCAAAATCACTATGGTGCATAGAGGAAGACTTTGTTGGCAAACATGCAGAAGACATAATGAAGCGTTTCAACGACAAAGAGTTACCTATGGACTTCTATGAGGGAGTTGAGATATAGGAATACAAGTGTAAGGATGTGGCAGAACGGAAGTCGGGATCAAAGTTACATAGAACAACATGCACACCGCGCAAAATGGATGATGAAAAGCGCAACACTTGTGGCTCAGTCCACTGTTGTTGGGCATGTGGGTTCATGTTCCCTTCAATGGAAATGGTTCTGGCTGAATCATGCACACAGGTATGAGATCTCAATATTTTCACTGTGTTAGTAAATCATCTTATTTATTATTTTAGTATAGATTTCAAAAATTGATTCAGCCACACAAAAGCACCAAATTTTTGTATCCCCATGTATGTCTTTCATGCAGGTGTATCATTACATTTTGACACTCTTTGCAAACCATTCATTCCCAGAGTTCATTGGCTATGATGATATGTGTCATCTTCTTCATTTTGCATTGAATGAAAAGCAGAGAATCACGACGGCAAAGACAACAGAATTTACCGATGTGCAAAAGATTCATCACGTTGGTAAGACACTTTCACATGCTCTCAAAACATACCTTTAACTGATTTTGCAAAACAAAATCTTCATAACTGAAATTAGTTATCCCTACAAGTGTGTACTATTTAGCAAACAAGATGATGACTAAAACAAAACGTAATTTGTAATTGAGCTAGGGTACCAAAGTGGCACAGGACCACTTGCTCGGACGTGCCAATAATAAAACTAAAGAACAAAGAGAGAGAGAGAGAGAGAGAGAGAGAGAGAGAGAGAGATTCTGTTTTAATAGTCTGATATCAGAGGTTCTGTTTTACCCAGTGTTACATACTATTCCACACGGGCCATTCTAGGCCCGACTTCGGCAGTTCAGGGGGGTACCGACGGCCAGTCCAGCCAAAGGTCGGACCATATTCCACACGGACCATTTTTGATATATAGTACCAGCCGGACGGTCTGTCCGGCATTCTCGAGTGGACAAGAATGAGGAGCACTGCGTAGTTGCAGTTTCGGGTGCAGTGTTGTTTGTAGCGAGCGCTAGGTGTAGTGCCGCGCTGAGGAGAGCTTGAGAGGGCGAGGACTTACCTGCGGCCTACCTTTGCGCCATTGCTCCTTCGAGCACTACTCCGATGACAACGACAACAACAGGTTAGGACTGGTGGAAGTGAGGGACTTCCTTCTCCCTACCTCGCCATCTTCCTCCCTTCTCTCCCTCCTTCATCCTCCCCTCAGTCTCATGTTCTTTTTCTTCTTCTTCTTCTTCCCCTTCCAGTCCATATCATCTTCTTCCACTTCTTCTTTCTTCTTCTTCTTCTTCTGTTGCTTCTTGCTTCTTCTTCTGCTTCTTCTTTTTCTTCTTGCTTCTTCTTCTTCTTCTTCTTCTTCTTCTTCTTCTTCTTCTTCTTCTTCTTCTTCTTCTTCTTCTTCTAGATTCTACTTCAGTTACAGTTGGACATGAGATCGGAGTCAGACTTCAGGAGCAGAGAGGACATGTTATTCAGCAGATGAGGCAGTGAGGGATATTTGGGATTGATATTGGTGGCATTGCAGTTTAGACCAGAGTTACGATATCGGGTTGTCACCCAGAGGTGACTTGGGTGCCGACGACATTATTGTATCTTGGTGACATTTTGAGGTTACCTTATTGATGACATTCCGGATTCTATTTTTGGACATTCGGCACTAACTCCATCTCCCTCTTCCCCCACTCTCTTCTCATCTCCCCCATTTATTTGTGGATGCGTGTACGGGATCTGGGCTTCGTTTGTGCATGGTCCCAGATCTCATCCATCTCGCGATTGTTTGGATTCGAGTGCTATCTGTGTGAGTCCAGTCTATGTGAGTCAGTCCACATTTCAGACTTTCGCTGCATTTGTATTCTCCCTATATTGGTTGATTCTTGGTTCTACCCACACTTCGTGAGACAACTCACGAGTATGCAACAGTTTGGTATTAGAGCCGACCAATCAGTGGCACAACATAAGCTCAATGCCGACAGTGCCGCCCAGCCTGGTGCCACCATTGGAATAATAGTAAATTGCTGAAAACCTGGTGGAATAACAATGACTTTTGTGGTGATTCCGATCAGATACGTCCTGGACATAGTGTGCATATAGTCAACCCATGAATTGAACGCAGAGACTTGTGCACACTTTCTGGTTGACTTTGTACCGTCATTCTGCTCAGATACGTCCCGGGATAGTCTTATAATGACTGTTCCCTTTGTCACCACTCCTTCGTTGAACAAAATATATATCTAACTATCTATCTATCTCTTGATCGTCGCCTCGATTCTTCCCTACCTCGACCTAACGTCCATCACAACCCCTCCACTCACCATGATGCAATCATTCCCCTCGTGTCCACCAGAGTCGTCCACATTATGCCC